TTATAAGCCCTAGATGTTACAGAGCTCAGAAGAGAGTTATGCATTCCCTCTGGGGTTCAGGGAAGTCTTTGTAGATGACACCCAAACAAAGGAGTAAGCCAGGAGAGAAAGCTACAAGCCTCACAGGCAAGAGAACCACGTGAACAAAGGTGTGGAATCTGGGTATGCGGAAACAACCAGCAGTTGACCGTGTTACTAGCACAGGAAGAGTGAGATGGGAAGTGTGGGAGGATGAGACAGAGAGGCAGGTGTGTGCCTGTCGGGGGTAACTTATGGGAAGGGCTATGGTCTTTATCCTGAGCAGGGAACAGTGAAGTGCCTGAGGAGCCCTGCATTTTAGCTGGATCACTGCAGGGCTGGCTGGTTAGCTCACCTGCTTAGAGCAGTGGTGCTGATAAGGCCCAGGGCAAGGATTCCGATTCTGCTTACTGGCCAGCTGCTAAAAAAAAAAAAAAAAAAAATAATAATAATAATAATGTACATAGACAGATCACTGCAGTGTAGACTTGGGGTGGAGGAGCCAAGGATGAAGGCAAGGAACCAACTAGAAGAGATGATGAGTGTCTGACGCAGATACTCATAATGAGAACAAAAGGCCTGGATTGGAAAAATAGCCAGGAGGTAAGTGGTGGGTAAGTAAGAGACACAAATCCAGAGAGGCTCCCAGGTTTCTGGCTTGTGCCTGGGTGGATAATGGGGCCATGAACTGAGGTAAGAAATACAGGAAAGGGAAACAAGCCTGGGAGAGAGAAGTTGATGGTAATTAGCATCTATTACTCACTTATAGAGACCAGACACTATGCAAAGAATTTTTCGTGCATTTTCTCGTCACTCTATGGAATAGATATTATTCTCAATTTGTGGGTGAGGAAGATGAAACTTTGAGACATTGAATAGCTTGGCCAGATCTGCACAGCTGGTAGAGTGGTGGAAAGAGGTTATAATCCAGGCATTCCAGCTCTAGGGCCAAAGCTCTTCACCATCAGATTTTACTTGTATGTGTGTCAAAGCACAGAATTACAACAAATTCAGTTTAAAGATCTCAATTGGCTTAAACTGAGATTCTAGAATCAGGCAACACTTCATTCCACAAAATGGAATATCATTACCATGCCTATTGAAGATTTAAACTGGCCTATTTGGGAAATTGGCTGTTCTCTCTCTCTCTCTCTCTCTCTCTCTCTCTCTCTCTCTCTCTCTCTCTCTCTCCTGATTTCTTGGAAGGTCAGACAACTTAGTTTGGGTTTTGTGGTGTGGAACTTTAGCAAGGGTGACTCCATTTCAATTTTTAGTCTGGTCTGTTGGGGCCTAGTGCAAGATCTTAGTCCAAAACAATGGCCCCCTATAATTTTTATTTAACATCTGTGTGTATGTGAAGAGTCCAAAGAGCCTGTGGGGCACCCACAGTGGGGAGGTCTAGGCATTATGAGGTCATCAGGGTTCAGATCATGGTAAATATCATGAATGTGGATGAAACTTCTCAGTTGAGCAGTGACCAAATCACAGTGCCCTGGGGAATCTTGAAGTTAAAGAAGTAGCCAGACGATAAAGGGCCCACAAATGAGACAAAAACAACAGTCCCCTCTGATTTTTAAATCGTAAGACATGCTACCTGGGCAACAGAAAATCGGGCAATCACAATGTAGCAGTATCAAACAAAAACGTTCACCAAGTTAAGCTGACATATTAATTACAACAGTTACTGTGTTGCATAGTAATTATCCCAAACAGTAAGCATTTTACATAAATAGCAGTAATTAGTATAGCACAAGTTTTCCTGAACGGTGTCCTATGGAATAGTAGTCTCTGGAGACGTTAATAAATGTTTGGATAAAAAAGGAGCTTTGGAGTCAGACAAGTTTAGGAAATGCTGGTATAATTTAGATAGACAGCCAAATCCCTAGTTTATACTTTTTTCTCTTTTCTCTGTTACGAGGCAGTACAGTGTAATGGTTAAGACTGTAGGCACTGGAAACAGACAGCCTGGGGTTGAATGCTGCCACTGACAAGCTGGATAATCTTGAGCAAGTTACTGAACTTCATTCACTACGCTGTTTGATCATAATAGGGGGATAGTAATATATTCACTTCAAAAGACAGTTCTTGGGATTAAATGAAAGGAAATGCATTTAAAACACTTAGAATAAAGCCTGGCACTGAGTGAAGACTCCATAAAGATTAGTTATTATTATTTATAAACCATACTATTATTAACAAGTCTCTCTGATATCCTATAGAGTTTGGTCCTTGCCACATACACTACACACACACACACACACACACACACACACACACACACACACACACACACACACACGCTGATACCCACATTTCTTAAAAGTCAAAAGTCTTGGCTCTGACTCCTGTTAGCTGAAGTACTTTTGTGCCTCTACTTCCACCCCACCACAGCACAGACTGGGAATGACTGGGCTCTTTCCCTACTCTACTCCAGGGAAAGGGAGCAGGGAGAGAGGAAGGTTTTATGCCCTGGCAGCATGGCCTTTGAAGGGCCACTGCTAACTCATAATCACCTTTGTGCACAGATGAAAAAGGTCATCTTCTGGCTGGACACTGGCCCGTACCAGGGCAAACAGCTTATCAAGTGTAGTGGAGGCTGTATTTTAGCCCCCGCTTGCTCCCTCAGTTGGGTGTCCTTGCACAGTGAACAGCGTGCACAACCATACATGGCAGCTCTGACCTTCAGGCTTTGGAAAGGGGAGGGGCTGGAAGCTAATGACAGTGGAAGAAAGAGGCTACTAGCTCTCTATTTCCAAGCAGTCCATGAGATTAGCTCTGCAGAAGCCTTAAGTGGATAAACCATTCTTCCTCATCACCTCTCTTCCTCCCCATGTGCCCCACCCCATTCATTATTACAGAGGCTGACATCAGAATACCTTGGTGTGAGGGGATACCCCAGGCCTTGCCTGTTTCTCTGAAGTCCCTGATTGCAAGTACCCGATTGCAGGTGGGGGAGGACAGAGCTCCCGCAGGTTTCCCCTGACACATAATGAACACTGACTTATGATGCTCCAAACCAGAGCAGGCCAGTGCCAGAGCAAGTCTGACTTCCTGACCATGGTTTGGGGCTGTGAAGGGAAAAATGTGGGACTGGGAGCTATCCCTGGCAGCTTCTTAATCTCCATTGTGTGGCCAAAATGCATGGCTTCCAATAAAGACTCTCACCACCCCTTTAGGTAGACACTTCCTGTATGAAACAGATAGGGAAGGAAGAAGGAAAAAGACATTTCCTGAGGGTCTTTTCTGGGGGTGTGTAGAGTGGAAAGGAAGGCAGGCACACTCCCAATGTGCACATGTATCATCCTTCACACTCCCAATGTGCACATGCATCACCTTTCCCCGTCCCCCCCGCCCGCCCCCATAGTCTCTTTAGCCTCCAGAGGGAATGCTGCCTGGATGCAACACTTTTTGGCCTAGAAACCAAACTAGTCTGACCTGTGGGAATCTGGAAAAGGCTCTTCCCTCGCTGCACCTCGGTTCCCTCTATGAAGTTAGGGATATAGATGGGGGATATATATATAGGGATATAGAACTTTTAAGGTTCCTCACAGCTCTGACAGACTTTGGTTCGCGCCTCTACAGGTCCTATTCACTGCCCCAACTCCAGTCCTAACTAGGCAGGTAGGGGCAAACTGACCAGAACCGGCTTACTCTCACCTCTATCCAGTAAGACCCCAAGGCCATAAACATGCAAGGATAGCAGAGGCCAGTGCACCAAAGACAAACCTCCCCCCTCTCAATTTTGCTTAGGGTCTGCCTTCATTGCTCTTGAAGATAAATACTGGCTGGAGCCCCAGCTGGTAGTTTAGGTCCTGTGGCCTTCAGACTCCGGAACAAAGGCCGAACTAGAGGGGGAAGGGACCTTCCCTGAACGTGAGAGGAGGGGAGCCCTGGGGCTGTTTATGCTTTTACCTCACCACAGGGGTGGCTCTTCCTCTCCTTTCCATGGCTTAGGGGAAAGGGGCTGTCCCGTCTTTTCCTCTGGGGTTGGTGATTTCATCTCCTCCCCTCCGTCTCCCTAAGGTTGGGATCTCTCCCCCTTCTCCATCAGCTCCTTGGGCCTGAAATCTCCATCTCCTTCTCTTCCTTTTTTCTCCTTGGGATTGGGGTCTCCACTCCCCTCCCTCTCTTCCTGTCTGTCGGCCTCGCCTTTTTATTCCTTCTCAGGCCTGGTCTCTCCAGCCCTGGGCGGAGGGATCTGCATTCTTCTTTTCTCTGCTAAGGCCAAGGCTCCCTCCCCCCGACCCTGTCCCGCTCCTTTCCCCCACCTTGTCCATCTCCCCCTCCCCACCCCCCCGCCTCCGCCCGAGGCATTGTGGGAGGAAACAAGATGTGGGGCGAGAGCGGCGCGGGGAGAAGCCCGCAGTGCGGGGCTGGGAGAGCGCAGCCAATGAGGAGCGTGG